AAAAAAAAAAAAAAAAAAAAGTGCCCTTAAGTAAGCTGAGAAGCTTTTAATAGTCTTACCACAAATTTGATTAACATAATATGATGAAAACGTAAAAAAAAAAACTACAGATAGCAATGTGATGCCATGACAATAAATATTAAAGCTATAAAGAATTAAAATGCATTCTTAGGAACTTAAAAATAAGATTAAGAAAATATTTATATCAGCCCAGATATAATCACACTTTTAAACAGTTCCTTTTATTTAAGGTTCAATAAAGTTACAAATTAAGTTTCATGTATATGTAGATATAAATGGCTGAGACAAGACTACAAAATATGACCAAGAAGTAGAATGCACACAAGCATTTGACAGACAAGTAACGTTTAGCTCTCCTAACAGCAAACTGAGTAAATGGGAACAGCATCATCGACTTTCCAGTGATAATTTTTAGCTATTGTGACTGGACTTTATGAACCCAAATTTAAAAGATAAAGCCAGGAAACTGAATCACCACAATGGATGTCAAGGTTTCCATTTTCCAATGCATTCCGTTTTGATGGTGATTCACCTCAAGACCGAAGAACACCAAGACCTCTCCAAAGCAATCTATACGTGGTGGTGGTAGTTGTCTCAAGTCAGTTCTGACTCATGGCAACCCAATGTGGGCAGAGTAGAACTGCTCCCCAGGGTTTTCAAGGCTGTGACTTTTTAGAAGCAGACTGCCAGGCCTCCCTAGGTGCCTCCAGGTGGGTTCAAACTGCCGATCTGTTTGTTGGCTAGTAAAAGAGTGTTTGAGCCAAGAGGGACTCCAATCCACAGATAGTAAGTCTTAATTAAATAAGAGTAAATATCTCAACTTGGAATAAACTACCGCTGTCTCAGCATGTTCCTCTTATTTAGATCAGCCAGTTGTAACATTAATATTCAAATATTATAGTCCATGCTGATACAATATCTTTATACCCAAAACTTCAAGGAAAAAAGTCTAGATTTCATATGTTGTTGTTGTTGTTGTTATGTGCCGTCGAGTCGGCCCCGACTCATAGCAACCCCTCCTTGGGTTTCCGAGGCAGTATCACTACGGAAGTAGGATTGCCCAACCTTCCTTCCGAGGAGTGGCTGGTGGGTTTGAACCACCGTCTGGTTAGCAGGCAAGTGTCTTAGCCACTATGCTACCAGAGCTCGGTTTTTGTACAATTAAATGAATGTGGTGGTAATATTAAAAGAAAAAAAGATCATTAAAAACAAAAAAATATATACACAAATAAACTAGTCATAAAAATCATACAAAAACATAGGTAACCGGGATTTTATTTTAATAATAATCATACAGTACAAAATTAGTTCAGGAAAACTATAATAGCACTATAGTCCACAGAGAGTACCCAAAATTTATGTGGGATTTGGGTTAAGAAGAACCTAACATATCCCTTATATAGTAAAAATCCATCATCTTGGGGGAAGGGGGACAACATAGGAAGTGGTTTAAAGTTAAGTGACAGCAGACTGCCTAGATTTGATTTCTACCTACCCCTTAACTAACTCTATGACCATGGGCAAAAACCCACTGCCATTGAGTCTATTCCAACTCACATGGCTCTGCAGGACAGAGTAGAACTAACTGCCCCACAGGGTTTCCAAAGCTGTAAATCTTTACAGAAGCAGACTGCTTCACTTTTCCCCTGAAGAGCGGCTGGTGGGTTCAAACTGCAATTTGGTTAGCAGCCGAATGCTTTAACCACTGTGCCAACAGAGTGCCTACGTTATTATAGTTCCTGTCTCTCCATTTCCTCATCTGTAAACCAGGGATAATAAACTTCACGGTGTTCTCATAAAAATTAAATGAGTTAAAAATGTTTGGTATATAAAAGTACTATTAATCTAGATATTTTCAAGAAATGATTATTACTCCTGACTCTACAGCATCCCTAGTTTTATAAAACATTAGAAAACTTGAAAAGGATACAAAGTATAACCATTATTGCTTATCTAGAAATTTTCATTGATATTTCTGTAAAAACTATCTTCCCAATCCTGCAAAAGAAGTAAAATGGCATTATTAAAATGTTCTCATCTTTAAAAAAATAAGATCTTGGAACTGATCCCTTTATCAAATGTAACTTACAGCTGCTCTGATGAAATGTTTTTAAGCCAATTACACCAATTACATTTCTATAGGAAGAAAGCTTTTAAATGTTAACCTGTTACAGTAATTAATTAGCCATGTAAACATTCACATTTTCTGAGGGCATTTTAAGAACATTTTTCCTATGATCAGGTTCACCATGTATCTAGCTAGATCCCAGAGTATGTAACACAAATCACTTGTCTTTGAAAAGACACTGTATATTCCACGTGTATAAAGCTCAGCGTGTGTATTTCAAAAGAAAAGAAAGTAAATGTCACATCCATACAATTATTTAAGCTTTATTTTTTTATATGCATACATGTTTCAACGAAACAAAAATTTCAAGATACACAGAGTATAATACATCAATTAGAATAATTCATAATTATTTTAATGTGTACAGGAAGAACAGTAGAAAGTACATGTAAAGAATACATTACATAATTTGTTTTGAGGTTTCCAAAGTAAAGCTTTTGGTTTTAAACCTTCAATTCCATTATGTATTATCACATTCCAATAACATGTATTTCAAAAATCAGATTTTATTTTTTAATACCAACTAAATCAACAAGTAACTCTAAGATAACCTGATAGATGTACTGCCTTTACCTCGATCTTCAAAATAATGCTGTTCAATTCTTCTACAGAAAGCAAGGAGGTTGCTATAGTTTTTCACCTTCTCAGAAAGTTCATCATTAGTCAACTGCGTGGTAAGAATGGTATACAAATGCCCAAATACCAGTGCATCTAGTTCAGTAGGCCTAAAACAAAAGGAGAATCAGAGGATCATGGGTGGCATTTAACTTTTATGATATAAAATATACTATATACAAAAACATTTCATTCATTAATTTAAAAGAAAAGTCACAGAAGAAAAGAAGCGTACCAACTCAATAGAATTTTAGAGCTCCTATTATAAGATATGGGGAAAACAAACACAAACTTCTAAACTATGATTTGTTAGTTTTATGACTTGCTTTATGAAATAGTTGTATTATTCTGAGATGAATCAAAACAAAACTTCTGTTGTATGATTACCAATTAAATGGTTTAAAATAATGTATGTGCAATGGATAAGATTCATTTTGTTCAATAATTTAATCATTAAAAAAAAATATAGCAGGTCTCCAATGTGCCAGGAACTATACTAGATACTAGAGACAAAAAAACAAGAAAGATACTTTAAGATATGGACACACAGTTCAGTAAGTGCTTTGACAAATGCATAAAGTATTGTCAAAGCACCAATGACTTTGCTTGGTGATGATGGAAGACAACAAACTGACAACCTGATTACCCAACAACACATCAACAATATGAGTTAACTTTAATTTTACCACCTCTAAAGTAATTTAACTTTTTGAAGAAAACATAAATAATCATAGACACAGCCTCAACAATAAAAAGAAATTAGGATTTTTTTTCCCTTTAATTATACATTACTAACAAAAAATGAAATTTATCTACCTCATTACTAATGGTCTATAAAGGAACATTACCAATCTACATTATAATAAAATAATTATTAATACAACGTTACTAATAGGAGAAAATAACATCCTTATATGAACTAATTATTGCTGTCAGTCCTGTAGTAAGAAAGTTTTTGAGAAAATACTGGTCAGTCTACCCAGCTGTGAAAATATGTTGGGGTAATCTGGTTTAATGAAAGAAGAATAGATTTTGGGGTAAAACAAATGAAGTTTTAGTCCTAACTTTACCACTAGATACGTGTTCTTGAAAACTATTGACAAACAACCTCACGCAGTAGCATGGCTTTAAATAGCATCTTCGTGCCACTAACTCCAAAATATTTATCTCCAGGCCTAGTTTCTCCCTTGGACTCCAGATTCATAGGTTCAGATGTCTACAGGACATCTTCTCTTAAATGCTGGATGTATCTCAAACTGCTCAGCCCCCATCTTTCCAACATAAAAGGTACCACTACCCACCTAGCTGTTCAAACCAAGTATCTAGGAGTTTCCTTCGAATTTTTTCTTTTATCTTTTTATTTCCATATCAGCAAGCCCAGTGAGACACTACCTCCAAAACATACCTTGAATGCCCTCAACTCAACCCAGTCTCTTATCATCTCCTAGTCTAAGCCACCAGCATCTCTCATCTCGACCACTGCAATGGTCTCCTAATGACTCTCTGTTTCTATTCATTCTCCACCCAGTAGCCAGAGTAATTTTTTTTTAAATGTCACCCAAGCTTAAAATATCCAAATGGATTTCCATTCCACTTAGACTAAAAATGCCAAACTCCTCACCATAACCATACAAAGCCTGGATGACCTAGCCCCTGCCTACCTCTTCACTCTCATCATCTACCATTCTACCCCATCCCCTCTCTCAACACAAACAAATTGACCTTGCTTTTTTCTTCAGAACATAACAAGCTCAAGCCAATCTTTGGGCCTTGGTGACAACTATTCCTGATGCCTAAGATACTCTTCCCCTGAACATGACATCACTGGCTGCTGCTTGTTATTCAGAATAAGGCTTAAAAAGAAGCTTCCCCTGACCACTCAAACTAAAGTGGTCACACAGTCGCTTACTGTCACATGATCCTATTTTAACTCTCCATGTGGTACTTAACATTACTATATTCTTCATTGTTGTTGTTATATGCCTTCAAGTCGGATCCGACTCATAGCGACACCTCCTTGGGTTTCTGAGTGATGGTTTATACATGTGTATATACATCAAGTTTTTTTCATATATTCAGTTTTACACACATAAATACATAAATATGCATCACATTTTTAAGTTTGAGGGATTTATTCCCTTTTTATAAAACATATATAACAAAACATTTGCCTATTGTTATGGTCCTTTAGTGCTGCTCTAACAGAAAATATACCACAAATAGATGACTTTAACAAACAGGAGTTTGCTCTCTTACAGTTTAAGAGGCTAGAAGTCCCAGTTCAAAGTGTCAGTTATAGGGGACAGGTGAAAGCCCCTTGACCTTAGGCTTTAGCTCTGCCTCTTGTGCCCAGCCCCATGGAGCTGGAGACATCTCAACTCAGGCAGCTGCTGTCTGTTGAGACTGACAAACCCAAGGTTGACAAGTAAAATGGCACATTCCCAAAATTATCAAGCAATACAGCAGGCCATTAGTTCAAGTCCAGAAACAGTCTCAAGATCAGCAGACAACATGGCTGGCCAATGAGATGAAACGGCCAAATGCAGTATCCAGATGTGCCAAAAAGCTCAAGATTTTTCTCACAGTGTCTTCTTACAGATTAGAAGCAGACCACATCCTTAAGGCAGCTACTCAACTGCTCACAGTAGATTCCACCATGGGGTTGACTACTTGTTTCACCACGGGGAATCACAACATCCAGGCCCAGCCAAGCACACATAACCTCAACTACCACACCTACCATTTTTAAGAGTAGAATTCAGTGACATTCATTCACATAACTTTTAACCAATATTTTTCATATTTTCGTTACAAATTTCAGCAAGGGCTTACACAAATTGATTCTGACACAAAAAAATTACCAATGCCCATAATTCTTTCATTTTAAAAAGCAGACTTTGTGACAGTAGTTACATTACTATTTGTTGTTAGGTGCCATCAAGTCAGTTCCAATTCATTGTGACCTTATGTACAACAGAACGAAACAATGCCCGGGCTCCTGCATCATCTCCACAATTGTTGCTTACCTCAGCGCATTATTGCAGCCATTGTGTCAGTTCATCCATTGAGGGTCTGCCCCTTTTTCACTGACCCTCTACTTTACCAAGCATGATATCCTTCTTCAGGGACTGGCCCCTCCTGTTAACATGACCAAAGTCTTGCTATCCTTGCTTCTAAGGAACATCCTGGTTGCATTTCTTCCAAGACAGATTTGTTTGGTCTTCTGACAGTCCATGGAACATTCAATATTCTTCACTAACACCGTAATTCAAAGGCATCCATTCTTCTTTGGTCTTTACTCATTGTCCAGTTTTCACATGCATGTGAGGTGACTGAAAACACCATGGCTTAGGTCAGGCCCACCTTAATCTTCAAGTGACATCTGCTCCTTAACACTTTAAAGAGGTCTTTTGCAGTAGGTTTGTCCAATGCAGTATGTCATTTGATTTTTTAGCTGCTGCTTCCATGGGCATTGATTATGGATCCAAGTATAATTAAATCCTTGACAACTTCAACCTTTTCTTCATTTATCATGATGTTGCTCATTGATCCAGTTGTGAGGATTTTTCTCTTGTGTCGAGGATACAGTCTTTGATCTTCATCAGTAAGTGCTTCAAATCTTCCTCACATTCAGAAAGCAAAGTGGTATCATCTGCATATTACTGGCTTCTCAATGAGTCCTCCTGTAATCCTGATGCCATGTTCTTCTTCCTATAGTCCAGCTTCTCAAGATTATTTGTTCAGCATACAGACTGAATAAGTATGGTGAGAGGATACAACCCTAACGCACACCTTCTCTAATTTTGAACTATGCAGTATCCCTTGTTTTGTTCTAACAACTGCCTATTGGTCTATGTAGACATTCCTCATGCACACAATTAAGTGTTCTGGAATTCCCTTTCTTCACAATGTTATCCATAACTTATTACGACAAACCGGCAGACAAGCTGCAGGCACAACTCTATACCTTTGGTAAAACTCATAGACGTATACATCAAAAAGTGGCAATTTACTATATGTAAATTATACCAAATTAAACCTGACCTGAAATTAAAAAGACAAGCAATAAACTTGGAAAAACTCCTATGAGAGACATCAGCAACAGCAAAAATACACTTTATGCAGTATATCTTCTGAATTATTTAATCAAGCCAAGATCTTCAGATACTTCTGGTTTTAATTATCTTTCTTTTACCTTATGAAAAGAAAACATAACTTTCCACTATTCCACTTACTAAATAGTTTGTGGATTATAGCAACTCTCCTAATAACTCTAAAATCTTTCATACATATTGTCTCATTTATCTTTATAGACTTTTTATTAGAAAAGTATTCCAGAGTGATATACAAATATATTTTTAACACCTCAAGAAATTTGTTGTGCTCTCAACTTGTGTTTATCATTCTTTCCATATTTCTGTTGGTTATCTACTATTCTTTCATTTGAATATCAAAATAAAAACTATAGTGTAAAATGTGAATGTTTTCCTAACCTTTTCCATTTAAAATTTTTCTGGCTCTCATCTTTTTGTTTTCTTTATTCATTATGATTCTATCTTTTTTCTTTTTTATACCTTTTATACTATCAGTCTAGTTTTAAAAACATAATTTAATCTGACTGTTCCCTAACTTTTCTTTGCCAAGATACTAGTAACTTGTCATCTCTTCCTACTACTAGATGTAATCTACACATCCTTTCCTTATACACCAATTATTGATCTTTAGGACTGTCATTCAAGTTTGTCAATCAAACTCCTTGCCATTAACCTTTTCTCTATATTTTGCCTTAGAATATTTTAGTGATCTCCCTTTATTTTTCTTAACTAGTAATTTTTTAACTGAACAAAATTTAATAAAATCCTATGTCCAAGATCAATGAAATTTTCCATCTTAATAACTCAATTTTTGGGGGGGTGGAGGGCAACATTTCCTCAATATGCTCTCTCATCAATATATAAACATGTATCTTCAAATATTTTCCTTTACTTAATGGTTTGTAACAGTATTTTTTCTTTTTCATATCAAACTCCTTCTCCAATTTCTCATTTAATTGAATCTAGTTTAACCAACATGTATTGAGCTTCTTCCAGCTAATAGGGTTTGTCTGGAAAGCATCCAATCTGTAAGGACCTCATAAATGCTTTAGAATAATATAGCTCTTTCTACCCTTATTACACTTAGAAAAACAAAAAGATATTTTTCTATTCTTTATTTTCCTTTATTAAAGTAGTAACATGAAAAGATCACTTTAAGAAAACTTTATTTTATCCTTCTGTGACCACATTCACTACTTGAGAGGGAGTAAGTGTCAAGTAGTTTAGTGTAGGTGTTTTGAAAGATAACACATCAGTAAGACAGCACAAGTAACATTACGATTTTGTTTCAAAATTGTTTTAAATATTTTAAAGCTACTAACATTATATATTATAAACAATTTTTTTTAAAAAAAGACACGTTAATATGTGTCTTGTATTATTTCTATTTTTTTTTCAAATTCACTCTCCTTTTTCCTTCTTACTATTTACCTTCTTTGTCCTCTTGTCCCAATTACTATTATTGTTCCAAGATTTCCCTTAACCACCCTTCCTTTCTCTTATCCATTAAAGCATTTGGCTTCTCACATGAGTCCCCTTAACATCCCCAGCAGGTAAACTAGGAGGAAAGCTAGTTCTAATTTTTATTGGAGGGAGTGAGCTGTGGGAGATACACAGGAAAATAAAAGTAATATGCCCCAGTTCAGAGTAAGTTAGAGCCAAGACTAGAATTCAGGGCCCCTGACTTGGGAGTCCAATGCCATATATCCTGACTTAGGCAAGTGCTCTATTCATTAAGCTACAGTCTCACAAAGTAATGATTCCTGCTATAGACAAAGAAATGAGAAAAATTTTGCAACAAAGTGATAATACATAAATGCAGTTTATTTCAATTCTAATATTAAGTAAGTAATTAGGCAAAATTAAAATTAAGGATTAAATCTATTCCATTCTTCAAACATAATTATTTGTTAGGATAAAATGTTTATCTGTTTATGCCTCATGGAAGGTAAAATTATTTTAAAACCTACATCTCAGTATTAATTAAGCAATTCCTCAAAAGCAAGCCTTTGGTTTTACATGTGTTCTAAATTTTGAATTTTTCATTATAACTAAATATAATTATTCCTTTATGAAGAAAAAAGTTATCTTGATAGTTCCACTGAACTGCATGCCCAATGATCCCTGGTTACTAATTCTTTGCCATTGGGTTTAAACAAGGAGAAAAATAAGTTAGATTTATTCTTCTGGGCTCCTCTGAAGACAGTGTGCATAACAAAATCAACTCTCAGAATGATGCACTTCAAACAATAAAATACACCCCTTCTGAGCTTTTCAACTCCAAAGAATTCCTGTATCAGAAAGTAAAAGAACTACATAATACTAACATAGGGACTAAACAAGTGGAAAGGATCTGCATAGCACATATCCCTAGGAACATAGCTGTAGAAGCTTTACCTATGAGGATTTCATGGTTTGAACTCTGTGACCTTTCTGCTTCAGAGATCAACAGACCCCAAATTTTACTTTAGTATCAGTACTATATAGTATGCATTACTTATACCATGAAGTAATATAATTTAAATATTTCCAAGCTATCGTCAAATCTATTATCCAATCCCCACCAAAAGATGTTTCATATGGCTACAGAAGATGAATATATTTGAACATAAAATAAATAATAGCAAATAAAGCTTTTAAAAAATTGGTAGCAATCTAAAAAGCAAGACATTTTTATTAAAAATCCAAAAAGAGGTTACAATTTCTAAGCAAACCACTGAAATTAAAATCCTAATTTAAGCTCATCTTAAATGGATCACAGGATAGCTGATTTTGATATATTAAAATCGTAAAAATGTTTGTAAAAGAGGAATATCCATTTTTACCTACATTTACAGATTCTTTTCAAGTTGCAAAAATACTACCTTAATGAAAGATGAATTCCTTGGTTTATATACATACATACATATATATTTAATCCATCTCCTTTATATCTATTTCCATGCTTTATAAATATTTTCATTAATCTTTAAAAGATAAATAAGTTTGTAACAGTGTGTATCCACACAACAATATTTTTTATTGTTTAGTTTTATTCACTTTTCTAGTCCCCTGGGTAGCACCCTATTAAAGACATCTATGGTAGCTTAGTGTCTAAGGCATTTGACTGTTAACCAGAAGGCTGGCAGTTCAAACCCACCAGACACTCCTCAGAGGAAGGTTGGGCAATCTACTCCCACAGTGATACTGCCTTGGAAACCCAAGAAAGGGTCATTAGAGTCAAATATGACTCAACAGCAGTGAGTTTGTTTTTATTTTTTGGTTATGGTTACACTAGTAGCATTGTCATGTTTTAACGGTACAAGTTTAGAATCTTGTTAAGATTTCATAGTTCTAAAAATAGCACCTCAAATTACCTTTGTTATAACCTTATCCTATTATATAATAATGATTGATATATATATCTGCCCTTAAAAGAAATTCCTAATGGTAAGGACTGAATTTGAGAAATCATGGTCTCCCAGAATCTAGCACTGTGCCTAACACATAAGAAATGTTAAATAAATATCTGATGAGTGCAAAGATAAATGTTAAAGACCTAAATCTTCATAAATTATACTTACTGAATTATCATAACTCAGTTTCATATATTATTTATCTAATTTATTAGATGATAAAAAAAATGTTACAACATGATAATGTGGCTGTTTATTATTGGTGTCACTTCTTGAGGAAAAAACAATCCTCTGTCATGAAAGAAATCTGCAACCTAAAAATACTGAAAAAATAAAACTTCTTACTGCTTATTGAAGAAATATGGTTGTGTTCCCAGTCTTTGAGAAAGAGCTTGACAGCACTGGTCTACGTCTTCTAAGACCTGGTATAGGCAACAGACCCCAAAGAAAAATATTTCAATGAGAAAAACAATGAACGGTGTCTAAAACTTAATTTACGTCACATTTTACAACAAAAACATAAATTAGGTTAATCTTTTGTACTATATTTAATCCGACTATAGACTATAGCAGGAGCTCTGGTGGCAAAGTGCCTAAGGCATCTGACTGCTAACCAGAAAGCTGGCAGTTCAAACCCACCAGCCACTCCTCAGAAGGAAGAGTGGGCAATCTACTTCCATAGAGATATCGCCTCAGAAACCCCAGGAGGGTTTGCTATGAGTCGAATCAACTAGATTGGCAGTGAGTTTGGTTTGTTTTTTTTGTTTGTTTGTTTACAGACTATGTATATAGAATAAGTAAGAAAAACTGAGAGCATATTTCCTTTAAATGCAAGTACATTTAAGTTACAATATAAAGATCATCATTGAGAAAGCTTCTCTCAAAATTCCAATCCCCACAAAAGTGTTTTCTTTAATCCATATTTTCAAATGACTTTGCATAAAATAATCTGTTCCATAGATGACACTGCTGACCCATCATGAGTAAAAGCATTTCACTTGTTTTCCCGCTAGTAGAGATGGATTTTATTTACTCCTGTTCATTTACCCAATCCCCCTTGTGGCTAAAGGCACACATCAGTGAGATGGCTAGCTAGGATTAGTGAAAGAGAGACATTAATTAGCTTAATGATGCTCAAACTCATGACCTTGACAAGATACACATTTTTTCATTTTGCTACTTCAGTATATTTAGGACCAAAGACAAACACATAGATTAAGCATTGTATTGACAGGGTATGTTTTTTTTAAGTCCTGATGCTGCACATCTATATTTATTGACATAAAAGATGCCCACAATGTATACACTATAAAGTGGCAGGTAAAATATCCCATTTAATGGAATTTTTATTAAGATACATCTAGGAGAATGTCCTCCAAGTTGTTAACAGTGGAAATTTCCAGTTGATAGAATTTCAGGCAATTTTTCTATCCTTTTAAAACTTTTCTGTATTATATAAATTTTTTACATTAAGCATATGTGATTTTTATAAAATGAATCATACAATAATTACTTCATGTTAGAATAATCATCAAATGGTTTGCTAATTTTATATTATGTAATATATTTTTTTTATATATTATTTTTTAAATGGAGTATCAACACAAAGAATAAGTTTTTAATGCATAAAAGTTGTCATTTCAACTTGAACTGACCTGGTCCAGAGTCTTGTTACCCCATCCAATAGCTTTCATCTTACGTTTGACTTCCCACTGTTTCTGATAGGCCAAAACATGGTTCAGAGGCCAAGGGTAAGGAGAGCCATATCTAGCATAAGTAATCTAAAGCAGAGAGATTATTGTTAAAAACACGGTTCTTTCTGAAAACAAACACTATTTTCACAAATGAAATTCTGAGGGAAATTTATTCTCAGAGAACACAAATAGAACAATTTGGGAAAAAAATACATAGCTTGCAGTCTAAAAAATAAAAATTTTAAACCATTTGTTTTAAAAATATATAAACTTTTATGTACTTTGCAACCAGTTATATCAAACAATGACACATAGCTTCTCTAAATTGTATGTGCAAGCAAAATTAAAGTAAGTGAAAAACTATATCACTAATGGTATAAACCATAATGTTTCATTTATGAGCCAGGGACTTGCGATTCTGAGCAAAAGTGTTTTCTCATTAAACTTTAATTAAGATAAATGCTGCAGAACACTCACCTCCCCTACCGTAGCTTCATCGCACCACTGAAGATACAGCTGGAACAAAAGAACAGTCACTAAAACTTTAGAATAACGAAAACAGATTTTTAAAAATGTTATTTCTTGCCATAGTAATTTTTTATAAGCCAACTTTATAAAAGTCACATAGGAGAGTTTTTTCCCCCTGGCTAATATGAGTGTAGAGACTCATTAAATTTAATGATGATACCTTATAAAAATAGTATTCCTTATTCATATAGTACATCTCTAAATACCATTAAAGTATTGTATAGATATTACTTAAGTAAACTTCACAAGAGTGAAATAAAATAGTGAGTGGGTAAGAATCATCCCTTTTTATAAACAAGAAAATTATAACTCAAATGTCAGGGAACTTGTTCAAATATAATGATTAAATAATGTGGATAATCAGCTTAGCCTTACAATTTGGACTATTTTTTTATTTCTTGATGATTCTAACACATAAAAAAGATTATATTTGGGGGGAGGAGCTTACTTTTAAGCCCTATTATCTTGTATTATACCTCTGCAGTCAACAGCATATTGTTGACTAATTCCATGTAGGCTTTCATTTCTGCTTTTTGGACTTCATCCAACCCATCACTAAGCGAATGGCCCTGAAGGGAATTTAAAAAAATTTAAAACAGCATTATATTAAATATACAAAAACTTTCAGTTATCTTACTAGCAAGTAATACAACATCAATGTGTCTACTAGAAATAGCCAATGGATTAATTTCCAAAACTGTTCCTAAAACAAAATTATTTTTATGAGGCATATTTAATATTCTATTATCACTACAAAATATTATTAGTATTTATTTCTCATTATAAAAATGTATCTTTTACTGGACAATTTTATATTAACAATTATTTCACAAAAGAAAAAAAAAGATTTTTTAAGAAACTAACCTTATTTGTAATAAAAGAAATGCTAAAACATTAATATGTATTACTTATAAAGTGGTCAGTGATGAAAAAAAAATAGTGTCAGGAAAACACAGGGTAACAGATTTGAAATCAATTCAACAGCAACTGGTAAAAACAACAGCAAAACACTATAGTAACTGGTAGATGCATAGAAAGATATAACCTTTAATTCAATCTGGCAATCTGATAAAAGTGCATACACTATGACATTGCAATATCATTCAATATCACTCTTAGGAATTTATCCTAAGGAGATAGGCAAATGTTCAAGTGTTTATTACAAGAATACTTGTGTTAGTACTCCTTATAAGAGCAAAAATTGGCAACAACCTAAATGCCCATCAATAAAGGCTCGAGTAAATCAATTATAACACATCCATACAACAAAATGCTATACAACAACTAAAAAGGATGATTTGCAACTATAGTCATTAACATGGAAAAATCTCCAAACATATTGATGATTTTAAAAGTCAAGTTGCAAAATAACACATAAAAAACAACAAAATAAAACCAAACTCACTGCCACTGAGTCAGTTCCAACTCATAGCAACCCCCTCCTTGGGTTTCCAAAGCAGAATCTCTATAGAAGTAGATTGCCAAGTCTCCCTTCTGAGGAGCAGCTGGTGGATTTGAACTGCCAGCCTTCTGGTTAGCAGTCAAGTGCCTTAGGCACGGCACCACCAGAGCTCCCAACACATAAAAGTATGTCTATATTTTCTACATATACATAAAGTTTTGGAAGCACAGTTCCCAAAATGTTAATGGCAGTAGTCCTTGGTAACTATTGAAATCTAAACTGAATAAATGAAAAGCTGAATAATTCAAATGAATAGATTAGCACATTAACTTCTAAACATAGCTTATCTCCCTTCTCAAAGGTTAATCTGGCATTTTATAACAATCTAACAGTTTTCATTTATGACCAAAATTCTCATATACATAAATTGGAAAATTATCTACCATTTTGGAAAAATCAAGCTAACTCTTGTGCCACTAATTTACATTATGAGAGGAAAATAACCAACTTCTATTTTAGAATAATTTCCACAATAGTTTATAAAACTATGTTAAAATCAATGTAAATGTTAAGACAGGTTTAAGAATGATGAATGGCTTATATAAGAGTCAATATAATCAAATCCATTTAATATCTTTTTTTTATTACCTTGGCTTTAACGAACTGGACTATGGGACCAAGTTCTGATACAACTTGATTCCCCACATGAATAAAAGGTACTTTACCTGTTGAGGAAAAAAAATGCATGAAAACAGTAAATTAAAGTCTATGCTAACAAAAGGAAATCAACATAAAATTGCGATACATTTTATTAATACAGAGATTTCATTAAACTGAACTTTTTTTAAAAACTGTAAACAAATGTATGTTGAGTTCTAGAAATTTTTAAACACTGGTTACCAACTAATTTTAAAACAAAAAAGAATAGATTGACTTCTTGAGTTCTTCACTTGTATCTACCAACATACTGCAATACTAACACTAGCAAATCACTGTAAAGCAATAAATGCTAATTATCGAAATTACTAAACTAGGACATTGGTTCATGACCACTGATAACTTTCAAAGATATTCAACTGGGCTTTGCCTCCAGAGTACAATTAATCAACCAGTATTTTAAACTACATTTAAGAAACCTTTTGTTTTTATGTCTTCCAATTCAAATATCTGATTTCCCATTAAGGTCAATATTGTTTGCACAAACTGGTACATTAATATCCTTAGCCCATTAATGTCTTTGGCCCCGAAATATCAAGAATTAAGAGAACTATCAATCCTTGAAGGTATGCTAGTTTGTGAGGTAATAACACAAACTATGTTCCCAAAACATGTGAGGGAAAAGAACAAGTAATACGCTTATAAAAGTTGACTTCTCATTGAGTACTATCTCATTTTAATACATACTAATACTTGATTAAATTAATCAGAGATGAAGAGAACCTCAAATAGCAAGAAGGTCTCAAATGCCAGAGGAGGAAACCTGCTGTCAGACCTAGTTCAAATAGAGTTCACACTAACAGCAGGCTTCCTCATGCTCCTTTTCAACAGATTCCCTCCTCTCTGGCTCAGTCAGCCTAAGGGTAATGGATGAGGTGCGCAGCACCAACAAAAGCCTCATCTGCAGCGATAGGATAACATGCATTACAAAGGAAGCAGGCCTTTTGGAACACAATAGTTCAATAGATACATTCAGAAGACATTTCCACACAAGACACTTCCATGTTACCAATATAAGAACACTAGATTCTACATTCTTTTATTCTACCTCTTTATAAATCTTGTAACTACTTTGTAAGTGCAGACTTTCTGAGATAAAATGATCTGAGAATGAGAATTTTTCATGAATGAATCCCTAGACTGGCGGCACTGGGGGTGTAACACTTTTAGAGTGAGTATTTCTCATTTTTAATACATAGTTTGGAGTTTTTAAAAAAAATACATATTGAGCATTATAGATTTTAAAGCAGAGAAGCAGTATCAGTAGTCAATGAGTACTCATCTAATACATCTCTAAATATAAGGATATATATAAAAATCAAGGCAACAAAATTAGGAGCTCTGGTGACGTAATTAGAAGTGAACAATAATGTTTTCTGTCACTAATTTGACTTAAAACCAATGTTCTCTCTTTATTATTCCAGGTACAGGCAAAAACAGTTATTCTCTGGCATTGATCAAAGGTCAACATTACTATAAAAAAAAAAAAAAAAAAAACTGAGGGAGCTCTATTTTTTTTCATTTTAGGCAAAATAATCATTTTTATAACTTTCACTTCTAAAGAAAGCAAGAACATGCTGCCAAACATGTTTATAGATTCAGAGGATGCACTTTAGATGTCATCTACTTCAACCTTCTCGATGACATAGTCACTGGCTGGGAGGGGGCAGGGAGAATCCCAAGGAAATAGTTAATATGTAACAAAGTCACAGGAGGATTAGAGTAAAGATACCTAACTCCTAGCTAAGTGGTTTTTTGACTATTCCAAGCTACTCTCTGCCTTAAAAATCTATCTGTAATATCAAATAAGCAAATAATGTAAAAAACGGTCCCTCAATTACTTAAAATCATGATGAAAGGAATAATAATTTGAAATATAATGAAATTTAAATATCTTACTAGAAAGTGCCATTTTCATCTACCTACATGGGGCTCCTATGACTGGGAGTATGTATGTATGTATGTGTTCGTAATACTTGTGTTTGTCTCTCATAGAGTCTATAAAAAGAAGGCAGATAACTACCTAGGTGATACTAAGTACAGTATAGTCATTTTAGGAAACTGATGAACTATATGGCTTATCCTCATTTAACAAAGATTAAACTTTAGCATTAGCTTACTGACTTTTTTATATGTATGAACATATATACATGTATACATATATACATGACTACACAGAGAAACTAAGTGGACACAAAGCAATATAATTCATTTGGTCAGGACTCAGTAAAGTGTATAAAAACTTATATATAATATCAGCATAAAGTGAGTCGATGAATGCCCTACTTTTAAAATTTAAAATATATTTAGGCTTGTAAGTCTAGAAATTGTTTTATGGAAATGTTTTTAATGTATATTCATAAACTGACAAATATGTAGATGTATTCATGTAGAATTTTCAGTGTATGGGGAGTTACGTTTTCACATCCTTTGACAATTTATTACTACCCTTAAGAACTTAAGATTTTAAAAATGTTTAACTACAATGAACAGACAGATAAATATCTCCCCAAAAAACAATGTAACACATACCAAATGGTTATACTCAATGGATTTACTCATAAAGGAGTGCTTCTATGTTATTACTGCTCCATCAAAACTATAATTCTATCAAGTATATTTATTTAACTTACCAGCTTTGCAGCACTATTTTTACGCTAAAACTTATTTTAATCATATTTATTTAAATGGTACTTTAATCTACTAATATATGACATTGCAGAAAAGGCAACACTGTTCATAAACAACAGCAGAAAATCTGAAACTTCAATTAAAAGTATCTAAAAATCTGTTAAAATAAAGTATTACCAAACCAAAAACCAAGCTCACTGCCATTGAGTGGGCTGGACTCATAGCAACCCCTCCTTGGGTTTTCAAGGCGGTATCTCTACGGAAGTAGATTGCCCAATCTTCCTTCCGAGGAGTGGCTGATTGGTTTGAACTGCCAGCCTTCTGGTTAGCAGTCAAATGCCTTAGGCATTTCATCACCAGAGCTCCCAAAATAAAGCATTAAGGAAAAGAAAAAGGTAGAAACACACACTTTCAGTAATGACTTTAACTCAGATCTGTAACAAGCTAATTATTCCACAATCTCTTTTTCCACCTGTAAATGGGAGACTGTAATTTGGAGAAGCATGACGAACAATGAATGGCTTCATTAATATTAAAATTTTCTGACAAGTAAACAGTCTTATATAAGAAAGACTAGGGGAATCATAGGTCACGCATTTACTTAATATTTACTATTTCATACATTTTCCAGTAACCATCACTGGCCAGAGTTGAAACAAGCAGACACAGGCATCCCAAGACTGGCAAGTCTACAATTGGTACATCATAAAACTATGTGAAAATTCTTCAGAAGGTTAAAAAAAATAGGCATTTTTATACCTGGGTACAAAATGGACTATTACTAATTTTAGCAATGCAGAATATTAACAGAGAAGAAAAAAAATCACACTTACCAGATGGAGACATATATTCTGCATTGGACCTACAAACCACTTTGATAGGCAGATTACACATTTGCAAAAAGGCCTGTAATCAAAAGTACAGTAAGCCTAGTGAAAGCATATGCATATTTGAACATGACTTTTTCTTTTTTTCCCAAACTGAAGTAACAGCTGATACAGTATCACTACCGAGAAAGAATGTATCAATCTAACATACAGGATTTTGAGGTCATCTTGGCTGGGTGGTGGTTTGAGCACTCAGCAGCTGGATGCTGTTATTCTCCATAAGAGATTGGAATCAACTCCATGGTGGAATCTACTGTCAGCAGCAAAAGAGTTGCCTACAAGGTATGGCCTGCTTCCAGTATAAAAGGAGAAGCTTTTAGACGGTTTATAGCTTTTGGCCCATTTACAGCCTACATTCCACCAATGTCTTCATAACCAGTGGCCTGTCATGTTGCCTACCAATATTGAGATTCTTCTTGGACTTGAACTAGCAGTCTGCTGTGTTGCCTGCTGATCTTAGGACTGCGGCACTTTCCCTGCAGACTTGGGTTTGTCAGCCGCAGCAGCCAACAGCTGCCTCAGGAGACACATCTACCTCCAATGGGCCTAGAATAAGAGGCAGAGCTGAGGCTCAAGGTCAAGGGGCCTTCACCTAGCTCTAGAGCTCTCACTCAGAATTTGGACTTCTAGCCTCCTAAACTGTAAATGAATAAATTCCTGTTTGTTAAAGCCATCCACTTGTGGTATGTCTGGTATAGCAGCATAAGAAAACCAAGACAGATTTGTTTTCCAAAACTATACAAAATGTCATGTTAGTACTAAAAGTCAAAATTACTTAAGACATAAGTAGATAAATGAAATGTAAAGCATTTCTTTATACTTAGGGAGCTCTGGTAGTATAGTGCCTAAGGCACTTGACTGCTAACCAGAAGGCAAGAGGTTCAAACTTAGATACCCTTCAAGCAGAAAAGTGAACTCAACCCCAAGGCTCACTTTTCAGCCAAACAACAGACAGGATTATAAGGTGAACAATATCAGGAATACTCATTAGAACAATCAACCGTACAAGATCAAAAGGGCAGCATTTGCTCAGAGATAAAGCTAAGAAGGCAGGAAAGAAGGATGAAGAGAAACAGTAAACACAAAAAAGAAGTGGGAGAGTGCTGTTACACTGTGGACATTGCAATGAATGTCACACAACAACATGTGTTTGAATTGTTGAATGGAAAGCCAATTTGCCAACAACAACAAAAAAAGTTAAAAGACAGACTGAAAAATATAAGAAAAAGGTGGAATAACTGATTTATAAGATCTATGAGAAGGTAACAGAGGAAGAGATAAGAGGGATTCCTTTGTCAGGAAACAGGATGTCTTTTCCACTGTAACATAGGGGAAGTAAGTGGTTGGGAATCTGTGAGGAAAGAAAGGAAAATGAAAGAGTCCTTGTTCTGTGAAATAGGAAGAAAAAAACATCTGCTGAGAATGAAGTACTAGGAGGTTAGAAGGGGAATGACATCTCCAAAAGAGCAAAGAAAGTTTGAAAGCACTGCTAAATATATATTCTCAAAGGCCTGAATAATACTCAGTTGTTAATTAACTATACAAAATACTATACAAAATAGGGAATATGGTCTATTAAACTACATGCACAGTGGTAATATTAAATCATTCTAAAAAGCTGTCTTTCACTAAAATAAGCATTAAGCAGAACTGTAATATTTTACAATCAAACTCATGCTTCTTAGTCTTGATATTTTTCCCACTTTACTAAAAGCTAACTGAATTTTGATTGACTTAACAACATTCAGCTTACCACAGACTTCAATTAATGGTGTAATTCTGGTTAGCCAAAGATTAATGTGACAGTATTTACTACAATCACTCTTCATCACTGATTCAAAAAGGATTTTTTTAATTAATCTGAAGTTCACAAACTTTAATGCCACAAATAATGTTTTCATTCAAACATTAAAAATGCAAAACCAAAACACTGTCACGAATCTTAAAGTACATGAAAGTCTAAAACCAAACCAGGCTTGGAAAGTATTTCTCTTTTCTCTCGTAGGATGGAAAAAAATCTCCTATTGTTGTTGTTAGGTGCCGTCAAGTCGTCTCCGATTTATAGGGACCTTATGTACAACAGAATGAAACACTGCCCAATCCTGTGGCAGCCTCACGATTCCCGCTATACCTGAGCCCATCGTTGCAGCCACTGTGTCAGTCCATCTCATTGAGGGCCTTCCCCTTCTTCATCAACCCTCCACTTTACCAAGCATGATATCCTTCTCCAAAGAATGGTCTCTTCTGGATAACATGACCAAAGTAGGTGAGACAAAGTCTGGCCATTCTTGCTTCCAAGAAGCATTCCAGCTACACTTCTTCCAGGACAGATTTGTTAGTTCTTTTAGCAGTCCATGGTATTTTCAGTATTCTTCACCAACTCCACAACTCAAAAGCATCAACTCTTCTTCAGTCTTCCTTGTTCACTGTCCAGCTCTCAATGCATATGTTGTTGTTGTTGTTGTTATGTGCTGTCGAGTCGGACCCAACTCATAGCGACTCCTCCTTGGGTTTCCGAGGCAATATCACTACGGAAGTA